AAGCTCTGTCCACATAGAATATCCAGTAGTTTTCATACGGTTACATGTACTCACCGTACTTTACGCATGTTCGTACTGTAGTCTCATTAATATCGTGTATTATGGTAAAAGTCATTTCTTTGTTAGTATTAGCAAAACTCAAATTCCATTTTAAATCATAAGTAAATATCAAAAGATACACTTTATTGACCTAAATAAACTCCCACATATTTATCAAGGTGACTTAGAAATATAGCTTTTACCACACGGGCGGCCATGTCGTTTAATAACCTCATTTACAGACGTAACTCGTTTAGTTTTTTGTGGAACTTGTGTCCAATATGCGACCGCTGTTTGAAAAACAGTGCTTCGCAGCAGTCATGTCCATTGCCCTAAGGCGTGCGCTGATTCAGTTRTGCTTGCTTATYATCAGAGGAAATGCAAAGCCGCGGATCCTATAGTTCCCAGCTAGGCTCAAAGCCGGCAACCTACAGTAAAGTTGTACTACTATAGCAAAAATARTTTTTAATACAGAGATACTCAGTCCGCGCAGAAGTTCATAAAGTAGAGTTTTGAAGTGCAGTACGCATCTCATCTGTCATGAGGGACCACCATTTTTCGTGGTCATTCGAGTCACGATTAAGGTCACTAACCACTTTTTCCRCCTTCTTGTACTGCTGACTCAAATATCCGTACATGACTTTACCTCCTGTYGTCAAACATTTGTTTACCCGAATAYAGAGTTTAATTAGTTAATCACAAGTTCTCATGACATGGATTGTCCCACAAGAGCTTAGCGCTCACTCCRCGACACAATGCACGCCTTTCTCTATACTAATCCHATAAATACTTCGCCTCTTCTAATTAAAAACCATCAAAAATATTTACAATCACTTACTTAAGGTACATTAACTCGTGTCTTACATAATATTCACACGTAATGGGATTGCAGCCAATTTGTTAAACTCAGTTTTCACCGCGAAGAGCTACGAAATGTTCAGTAAGAGTTTTCGTCCTCGTCCGAACAAAATAAGAAGCAAGAGTTGCTCAGATTCCATCAAGTCAGACGATGTTCTTTGGACGTACTTAGAAGAACATCCAGTTGGTCTAATAGGTAAGGAATTTCCCGGAATGTTTGATAAAAGATCCTTGAACTAGCAAGTTAAGTGTGCTATACCGTAGTGGTATGTTCGATCTCCAAGGATAATTTTTTCCAAGTCAAAGGGAAATTTTGGTATCGTTTCCATGATAGATAGTTTATAATTGGTTGAGATAGAGTAATCATAAAATATAATTTACTATTGTCTTTATATTCACGACAAAAATGGCTCTTATTTTTATTTGATTATTGCATTGAAAACATGGAACAAAGATTTCGGGTTTTTTTTCCAGTTGTTCACGAAATATTGGAAGTAAAGGCATTTAGACCGTAAGAAACTGGAATTATACCAAGAATGTCTGATGTACTGTCTGCCTCTGAGTCCGCCGCACTCGCTTCATGACAGTGAGTTGAATAATTCTTTTACGAGCGCAAAACCTGCCAGCAAAAAACGAACGCAGGAAATATGACCATCTGCGATTCATCTCTTTTTTCGAGTTTCGTTTTTTTAAATAATTTTTTGGCTTATAAGGAAAGACTTTGAGTTTTTTCGGTCGTTTTTGCGAGCTTGAAAAAAAAAAGAAAAACTGAATGGCATCGCATCGCTGATTGGCCCGGGCGACAAGGTCCCGATCAATAGGTCGTACCAAGCCACAAGTTCCAACAACTGGTCGACAATTATATTAAAATATAAATGAACTAAAATGTAGCCCCTAAAAAATTCCCTTAATTTCAGTTTACAAAATTATTTTGAATATAATTGCAAGGTTACAGATGGATAGTGACCAAGACTAAAGTATACTTTAGTCTTGGTCAATATCATGTGTTTAGGGGGAAATCAAAAATCTTTTTTCTCAACATATGTATTAACTATGATAGAATCCTGAAGTTGATCCTAGGAAAGGGTGCCGTCAAAATGATAAGTTTTCATTCGTAACGATAGGCTTAAAGTTCATGAGATATTTTTTGCGAGTGCTGGGGGAAAAAAGGTAAAAATGCACCTCAAGTTGCAAGGCGCATAGCATAATGCGCCGAGTTCCTTCCATGACGTCACATCTCAATAACTACAGTAAGTGATAATGAAGACAGCTCAACACTTTCAACACAACATAATTCATGTGCTTAAAAATCAACTTTAATTCCTCATAATAACTCCTTCTTCAAGGAGATATGTACCGAAAAACCTCGCCATCCTCTCCCATCCAAAAAGGTTCGTAATGGTCCAGTAAGTTTTTCAATTTATCGTTAGTTTTCCAGACTTTCAAGTTGTTGATACGCCGTTCTTGACAGTAGCTCTTTTTGTGTTTTATTTGCTCGACGTCTTTCTATTGTTTTCGAGCGGGGGTTTTGAAAGCGAGACGTTTATTTATGCAAAGTTGACAGACTCAAACTCCTTTACCAATATCTCCTGTTCGGTGTTTGAACAAGAAAGACATCGTGAGCTGCTATATAATTTCTTTGCACGTCGACCGCCATTACATGCTGTGGATAATCTTCTTCATTCCTCGCGATTTTTATTGTTTTGGATTCAAAATTTAGCAGTTCTCTTCTTTGAGCGACTCTTTATTTATTCTACAACATCTAAGATTTCTATTCAAGCTAATTCATGCAGAGTTCAAGTCTTCCGGACCTTAGTTCTCTTACAGAACACCAAGAAGACGGTGCGTACTTTTAATCTTTAATCTACACGAACTTCGACAAGAGTATCAGAAAAAAATTTCCTATACGAATTCTTAATTCCAGTCAATAACTTCTGCTTTAGATTTTTATTACACGTGGTATTATGATCAACGGTTTTTAGCGGGAAATAATCGATATTAGCAATATTTTTTTCAGATCTAAAATTCATCTCTTGCTCCGAAAAGGTCCCAAAGTCAAATTTTGATCTTAGTAAATTAGATAAACTTCGAAAAATTCATAAATTATAATTCTCGTAATCCGTACAAATCGTCTTTTGTTTCTTGGAGTATTACATTTATTCTAGCTTAGCTTTTTCACGACTCAAATTTTATGTTCCTTGGAATTATTTTTATCTTATTTTATTAAAAAGTTTATGATTTTCAAAGTTGAACTTGAGCTAATTTTTTTTGAAATATTCAAGATAATTAGCTAATTTCTTTGGTAAATAACCCAAGATAGTATGATAAATTTAGATAAAACATTCTTCTATCAATTTGTTTTTATTCTTCCTATCCTTCCTCCATTCATTCCTTTGTTTACATTTATAATCCAATATGCATTGATTTATTTTCCTATTTGTTGATACTTGGTTGCTAGGGAAATATTGAAAGCTTGGTGAACCCTGTCATCTTTACCCAACCTAGTCAGACATGGGTTTTAATTTTAGTACTGTTGCTAGAAGCATTTAAGTAAATTCTCGGTGATCAGCCATTTATATAACTTATTTTCAGTGACAAAAAAGTGCACACACAACAGCAAGCAAGTTTTTTTATTTCTTTTATAAAAAACACTACACAAATTACAATTTTTATTTTGTAGGAATGTGCAACTGAGAGTGCACAGGCATGCTGTATGCTCCCATAGAGCACATGCTCCCAACCAATCAGAACCCAAGATTTCTAACAGTTTTTAATAATCTTGTTATTGATCATATATATAGGTACATCAGACAGATATGGTATTCCCTATGGTCAGTCAATAGAATGGGCAACACCAAGACTAGCCAGTAATCACAAGACAAGRACAGTGTCTGATGGAGGACATGGTGCTACACCAACAAGGAATCTAATGTTTGAGAAGTCCTTCAGTGAACCTTCTTCACCACACCACAAACATAATAGTAAGTACTGGTGTGCTGGAKGTTCGTCATGGGTTCAATCCCCYATCAGTGCTAACACTCTGGGCCCAGTTGTACGAAGGGTGAATAGCACTATCCGACARATAAATCTTTATCCAGTTGATGAATAATTCATAAATAATAAATTATTTATTACATAACAGCATCAATTTATACACTGGATAAGGATTTATCCTTTGGATAGTGCTACCCACCTGAGCCCAGGACATTAAATGCAGAGAAAGTGTTGCCTTCGTAATTATTACATCTACAAATGGTTAGACTTCAAAYTTCAATATGGCTCAGATGATCACTTTAATTGGAAGCAGAATCTCTCTGTCATTTATTATTCTTAAGTGATATCCAAGGGATGTAAAAGAACCACTGAGGATGCAAAGAAACCCCTGCAATGAACACCCTTAGTGTATACCTCATGTTGCTAATGACCTCAAATAAATCAAATGAATATTAAATTCGTTGTGAAATGTGATTATCCATGTGAGTGTCTTCTTGAGAAAGACTGTTGTTGGTGGTGACTCACGTTTCGAGAACCAGAGCAGAAGTCATCTTCAGATTCCAGTGAGAAAATGAGAGATATTAAATTTGCAACTCATCGTCAAGAAAATTTTTGATAATATACATATAGAAAGAGTGCTATATCTTAGGTAATAAACCATAATCATTGTGATTMCTTAGGTGTGCCAAGATCACAAGCTGAAGTCTATGTCTATCCACACTCCAAACTTACCCATCAAGTCAGCAGCAGTAATAGTAATGAAGAGATTAACACCAAAAACACTTYGCCTAAGTCCACCACTAGTACAGACCCATTTACCAGGCACCAAGCTCTTCCCTTCTCAAAAAAAAATGTCCAACTCCCAGGGGCTAGTCCGTTGAGGAAATGGTCATCATATTCTGGACTTACGCATGATGTAATCGAAGGAAAGAGACCTGATGATGGAGGCAAGAGGTCTGATGAAGAAGGACCCAAGAGCTACCATGGGTCAGTTGAACATATAGACAGGGTATGTATTAGATCATCATCCCCTGATACTAATACTAGGGTGATCTAA